ATACCAGAATTGCATTAGTTGGTCCAAATGGAGCTGGAAAAAGTACTCTTTTAAAATTACTATATGGAGATGTGAGTTTTAATTATAATAAAAATATTATAAAAGTCAATTATTATTTATAAAATAATATCAATTATTATTTATAAAAATTATAAAAATATTTCTGAATAATTTTCTGTTAATTTATAATTATAGTTAGTTCCAACTAGTGGTATGATACGTAAGAATAGTCACCTTCGAATTGGAAGATATCACCAACATTTACATGAATTATTAGATCTAGATATGTCACCTTTGGATTATATGATGAAAGCTTTTCCAGATGTTAAAGAAAGGGAAGAAATGAGGAAAATTATTGGTCGTTATGGATTAACTGGTCGTCAACAAGTATTGTCATTTACAAAAATTTAAATATTTAATGACTTCAAAAAATATTGGCTTACTTTATAAAATTTTTAGCATATATATAATTGACAAATCTAAAAGATATTTTTAAATTTTCATTAGATAAAAAAAAAGTTTCACTATTTTTTTCACGATTTCGATAAATGTAATGTTTCTAAAAAAATTTTTTTATATAATCTAATAAATTATACTAATTTTTTTCATTTCTTAAAAAAATTCTCCAAATTTCTTAAAAATTCAAGTCCAATTTTTAAAAAATTATTATGTTTTAAAGAATGTGCCAATATTTTTTAAAATCATTGTACATAATAAATGTACAAATGTGAAAATTTTCAAAAATTTTTGTTTTATATAGGTGTGTCCAATTAGACAATTATCTGATGGTCAACGTTGTAGAGTAGTTTTTGCATGGTTAGCTTGGCAAGTGCCTCATCTATTATTACTGGATGAACCAACCAATCATTTAGATATGGAAACAATTGATGCATTAGCAGATGCAATTAATGATTTTGATGGAGGAATGGTGCTCGTATCTCATGATTTCAGATTAATTAATCAAGTATGTACTAATATTTTAGAAATTATGTATATTCATTAATCATTGCGTATGTATATATATGTATATAATAATATTATAATATTTTTTCTTATTAGGTGGCAGAAGAAATTTGGGTTTGTGAAAATGGTACAGTTACCAAATGGAGCGGAAATATTTTGGATTATAAAGAACATCTAAAGACCAAAGTGCTTAGTGATAATCAGAAAAGACAAAAAGAAATGCACAGAAGCAAATAATCTAAATAATGTGTAATCTATTCTACTCTATTTTTCTTTCCAAGTATATTTTTCTCTCTCCGTTACAGTAACTGCCTTTGTCCTTATTTTTTCGGACATTTCATCGTATCTATCATTGACTTTGCGCTGCTGTGTAGCGTTATCAGTGGTCGAAGTTTTTTAGCTAATTTATTTAAATAATGAATAGCGAATTATTTTATCAACAACAAGATCGATTTACGGTGAAATTTTATCATTCTAATAGTTTGAAGATCCTATATTATTAATTATATATTACAAGAAATTATAAATTGGGCATATATATATATGTATACACATATATATATACACAGAATATCCCAGAAGTCGATCGATAAGGCTTAACTTATGATTTCTACTAAAAGACACTGACTAATCAAAGCACATAAAGCTATTTCATTGCTATGGTAACTTTGGATATATATGGATATATAAGTCAATGTTTTAATAACTCGTTAACAAAGCCGAAACGAAAATTTTCACAAAAATATTTAAAATCATCTCAAGAATAAGTTAAATCTTAGGTCGACTTCTAAA